TTGTTGTTGTTGTTGTTGTTGTTGTTGTTGTTGTTGCTGCTGCTGCTGGTGCTGCTGCTGCTGCTGGTGTTGTTGTTGTTGTTGTTGTTGTTGTTTTTGTTGTTGTTGTTTCATGTCTTAGGGCTTTTGGGATAGGTTTTGTGCCTCTGAGTGGTGCCTCCTGCTGTTCTTCAGAATCCCCCAAACGCTCAACACCAGTTAGATTTCGTAAGGTATCGACTCTCCGGATGTCCCGAAAACCCTTAAATCCTGAACCCGTATATAACTTGGTACACTTCTCGATTCCATGCGAGAGGGAAAAAGAACCCATATTTAACCCGAAACCCTTAACCCCTCATTAGCGCCAGAGCTTAGCAGTGCGCCAGGTCCCACGTCTTTACCAAAGCTGCGAGCTGAGGGCTGCTGATTTAGGCAAGGCGTGAGTCAGGTAACACAGGGGCCTCAAAATTAGACTAGGGTTTCAAGTCGGCTGTTATAGTAGAATACTAAGGAACGTGAAGGACACATGCTACGAAGTATTCCGGCCCCCAAAAGCAGCAGTTCGAGGTAACCGTGTGATTTACAGGGCGGGCTTCCTGGCTCGGAGGGTTCTCGGTACTTAGTATAGCATTTACTCGCAGTTTCCATTGCACTTCCTTTTTGTTGGTTAACCGTTCTAAAAACGGTTAGGATCCCATAATACAACAGGTTAATTTCAAGAAATTGTCAACCTTGACAGTGCCGCATTTTCGATGCACTGCAGAGCGCTTGAGTGTTTCTCCGGCAAGCGAGAAGGTTTTTCTAAGATCATCCATACCGCTAGTGTTAAAGCGATGCCAGTGGTAGCACGACGGTCTTTGCCGGCATGATTGTGCCCTCGGCTACAGGCTGCCTTTTAGATGCATCTCTCGAGATAGTGTGGGATGTGTATGAAACTGCCTATGCGACAATGTGCTACAGTTCCCATGAGTTCTACGACCGAAAAGTGCGTACACCATCATCAACGGTTGTGTATTCGTTTGTGTTCATTCGTTTTACTTGCTTTTACTTCCAACCAAACAAACATTACACAGCACTTCATACTGTGACGCACAGGATTCTGACGGTAGTTCCTTTGCCTGGAATCGTTTGTAGTCGCGGCTGGCGGGTAAGATCGGAGGGCGATGTTGGCAATTTGTTGCTGCTGTGGTTGTTCTTTGTTCGGGTGGCCGCTTTGCGGGCTCTTGCTGCGTGTGAGGAGGTGCCGGCAACAATCGGATCTGCCATTTCCATTGCTGCTAGCTCTCAAGCTTCATTGCAGATTATATAGACTTGCCGTCATGATGGTCAGTCTAGCAGGAACAGGTCTGCGAACGGCCCATCAGAAACTCCAAATCGATTTCCTAAAGTCCTAAATCTCAGCGACGGCGTGATTGGTTGGCTAGAAGGTATCATGTCGACATAGCTGATTTAGCCTTCGACTCGCCCAGCGCATGCCACACCAATGGATTTCACCGTGCGGAAAGCATATGCTTGCCCGATCTGCGGTGAATCCTTCATCAAATGGGGCCTATGCCTATCCCATCTCCATGCAAGTGAACCATGCAGATCCGCCCTCGGAGAAGATATCCTCCGCAGCCTGGTAGTCGAGCCGTTAAACTTTTCTTGGTGGTAGCATCCCGCTCTAGCCTATAGTTCCAATGTTTAGTCGTCAGATTCCCAAAGAAACTGTGACAAGTAAGGCAATGTGGAGCAACTCCAGGAAATGTGCCGTGCTGCTGCCTCTGGCGAGGCCGCAGCAAAGCAGGAGGCTGCTGTGGGCACAACCGTTTCACCCGACAACTCCACCCCAGAGGCTCCCCCCGTGACCGAGGTGGCACCCTCCACCTACGAACCCATGGACGGGGCTGAAGCCTCTACCTTTGAACCCCTCGGGCACACCAGCTTCGAGATGGCTGGGATGCCTGGCAACTACGACAACATGAGCGGGGTAGCAACCACCAATTTTAACAACATGACCGGGGTCACAGGTCCCACCTTCGACACCATGAACGGCAACAACATGACCGGGGTCGCAGGTCCCACCTTCGACTCCATGAACGGCAGCACCATGAACGGTGTCACAGGTCCCACCTTCGACACTATGAACGGCGTCACAGGTCCCAACTTCGACGCCATGAACGGGGTCATGCCTTCCAGCTTCGAAGGCATGAACGGCATTCCGCCAAACTTTGATGCGTCCAACTTCGATGCCATGAACGGCATGATGCCCGCCAACTTCAACATGAACGGCATCATGCCCTCCTCCTTTGATGCCATGGGAAATTCATTCGATGCCATGGGCGCGGTTGCGCAAGGCTTCGACGGCATGATGGTTCCGCAGATGAACCAGATGAATGTCCAGATGAACGCCCAGATGAATGCCCAGATGAACGCCCAGCTGCAGATGAATGCCCAGCTGTTGAACGCTCAAATGAATGCCCAGATGATGCAGGCACTTCAGCAACAGCAGCTGGCTCAGCAGCAGTACTCTCAGCAGGAAGCGTTTGTGCCCACTCCCACAGCTCCCACAGCTCCCACACCAACCCAGAACGAGGCCAAGAAGGATGGCAAACCCTGGGCCAACTACAAACCATCCTCAGCTTCACAGTCACAGTACAAAGCACCATCGAAGGCACAGCCCCAGCAAGTCGGCAACCTCTTGAAACCGCAGCCGAAGCCGGTGCCAGCACCCAAAATCACCCCAAAAGCACCTCCCAAAGCTGCGCCGAAAGCTGGTGATGGCTTGATAAAGGAGCTCGCAGACGCGACGCCCGCCTACACCAAGCAAAAGGCCCCCCCACCACCACCGTTACCTCAGCCCAGTGCAGACGCAAACGCGAGAGGCCTCCCCGCCTTGGACGTTCCTTGGCCAAAGCTTCAGTATCATCATTATTCATTCTGCTTTTGCAATACTCGTGATGTTACTATTTTTTATTTGTCATTACTGCTATGACTTCGTCTGCCTACTACTATTGTATTAGTATTATGACTACTATGTCAAACTATTAAGAAATATGAAGGGCGCCCGACCGGTTGCAAGCGATTCGTAAGGGCTTTAGTAACGGGTATCATACTGGTAGCTTGTACAGAGAGCTTGTAATCAACATGTATCGACTTGATGTTGTGCAGTGCCATGTAGATGGATGATTATCATGATTCTTGCTACATTAGTACCGCACTGCTTCTCATTCGCATTAGTATTGCAATTACTGTAGCAGTTCTTTCTACATAAATTCTTGCATTCGTTTATATAATTTCATGAATTCTTAGTATTCTTGTTAGTAGTTAAGTCGATAGAAGTTCACGCCATGTCCGAGCCTCGATCTGAAAGCATCAAAATTCGGAGAGCCAAGGTGCGATGCGTGGCTAGGCTCCGTCGCGCTCTGCAGTGTGGCTATCTGACCCTCATGGAACGATCCACCCTCTCCGAGAAGTTGGAGGAATTAGCCACCTATGCTCCCTCGAAACAGCTCGCAACGGTGAAGAAGTTCCTGAGTCCCAGCTACGAGGATTTCAGATGGATTAGTAGCAAGGCAGAGTGGCTTCAACGCTGCCTGAACTACACCCGGGCTGGAGGCGAGAACTACAAGGGCAAAGGCACAAAGTCCGCCTCGGAGGAAGCTCTTGTGAAAGCTTTAGCTGATCACGGGTTGCTTCCTTTTGCCATCGACGAAGGGCGCCCTGGATGGATTTGTTTTTTTCGTTGTGCTGAGTCTCGCAGACCGACGAACCAGGTTTGTCATGCCCGGTGGCTATTTGTGTCCATAGTCTAGACTACTTATAGGACATACCCAAGGTGCTGGAGCACCTTTGGTCTCTTGCCGCCCTTATTGCAAGAGAATGTGGTAAAGGCAGTCCGCCACGGCTGCTCGATTGCAAGACCCCATGTCTCTTTGTGGCGAGGGGTTTGGTTCCTGGCTGTTTGCTAGGGGCCCTAATCGCGAAACCCCAAACTCTATGACTCTCTGACCCCAAGCCCTAAGCCCTAAACCAGAAAGGGCTGTGTTCACGCTCATAGGCGGGCGGGGTCGAGTCGAAGGACGACCTCGAGCCCTGCAGGAACACTACGATAATAGCAACAAGAATAGTAATAATGATGATGGTCATACAGACGATATTAAGAATAGTACATAAGCATAAAGGAACCTGGTTCAGGAACCTTGAGTCTTTTTTAGGGGTCTTCATGTGGATCCTACTTTTTTGTTTTCTCTGTCAGGTTCCTGCATTAGCCGGACATAATGCCAAAGTAAGTGTTGGAGATCATAGTCGTATCAACAATACACCTGTTTGCCACAACAGCAAGCATATTGCAATACCATGTGCGATGTTGATGCATCCTGCGGAGTCCATAGCAGGACCTTCATTGCAAGGACTTTGTTGAAGCGTCCACCCGCATCATAGTTCTGTTCAGCCTCTTGAGTCGTCCCGAGGCTTGTTTCTATCTTCCACACTGCAGCCGTCGGAGCACTTCGTGCACATCTGCGTGAATGAGGAGGCGTGGTGTAGAAATATAGGTTGGCGTTCATGTCCAACTTGTCGTTCAAGCCGGGCTGGTGATACAGGAGAAACCCTCATCTACACCTTAACCCCAAAGAACCTACCTTTTTATGGACTTATATAAAGAAATCATAATAAGGAACCCTGGTAGTTCCTGAACGGAAGTTGTCGCGGGATGGAGAGTCCAAGTTTTGACCTGGGATCCGTACCGGTGCGAAGCCCCGAAGGCCATGAAGCAACGATCGCTGCCGTCTCGTAGAAACTGAAGTAGGGTTTAGGTTTAGGGTTTATGGTTAATAGTACCTGGAGCCATAAGCAATAAGATACTTGAGCGATGCTGTCGCGCAGGTCATTTACAATTTGGAGGCGAAGCCTGTGCCAAACGAAGCGCAGCTGCAGCAAGATGGTATGCACAGGTTTTGTGTTTGCAGACATGCATAAACCAGGGAATGCACATATCAAGTCCGGAGTAGGTAGTTGCATGTATGTGTCTGCTTACATTTGTACAGATGACCAGAAAACAATAGGTAAGTGTATGAAAGCGGCATGTCCCAGACCCGATTCCTACGGCCGAATCCCGGAACTCTTATATAAGCCAGTCAACCAGGGGTTTAGGACGTGTCGGGTCTAGTGTTCAGGTAGTCCATGCTGCAGATTCTAGGCGATTTCTAGTTCTAGGGGTGGTGATGACTGGAGATTCTAGGCGATTTCTAGTTCGAGGGTGGTGATGACAGTAGGTGAAGCAGATTCTGCGCTGGGACGTCTCCCTTCTCCCTAAAGTTTAGGTGTACCTAGGTGGCTTTTGACCCATGAGCGTCTTGATCCGTTTCCTCTCGCAGAAAGTGCTGGTTTCCAGAAGCTCGCGTGCATAAAGTTTATAGCCCCATGCCCCCAAGGACCCTAAATCCTAAAACCTATCGACCTTAATCCCTAAAAAACCCTAAATCCTAATACCTGTCGACCCTAATCCCTTCAACCCTAAATCCTAAAACCTATCGACCCTAATCCTTTAAACCCTAAATCCTAAACCCTGTTGATCCTGATCCCCTAAACCCTAAACCCTAGAACCTATCGACCCTGATCCCCCAAACTCTCAACCCTAAAACCGATCAACCCTGATCCCCTAAACTCTAAAACTAACTCCGCAAGATGGCCCACACTGGAAAGGTGAGGGGATGTTACTTCTGTTACTTCCCGGAAGCCCTGTGAGGGCCATGGGGGGTTGAGGGGTTTAGAGCAACACCTCACAAGGCCTGGCTGCAAAAGGGGTTCAGGGATCATGAGAGTCTCTATTTCTGCTCTTCCTGTTCATTAGTGACTCCAAAAGCAACGTCCTCCAACTGATCTACAGCTGAAGAGTGTTCACAACTGGTAGGAGCATAACTTCTACTTCTGAGCCTTGGGGCGATGGGCGCGCACTTCTGATAATCAATAGACTCCTCCAGATCTCATGGACAGTTTTAAATTACGACACTTGCGACAAGAACGATGTCCCTAAACCCTAAACCCTAAAACCCTAAACCCTAAACCCTACACCAAGCAAATGTCTGGAAGGACATGCCGACTCCCGAGCAAGCGGGCATGGAAAGCATCGATCAAACTCTGTCGCTTGCTTTGCTCAGCGAAGTGCGTCGGAACTTTATAGGGTTTAGGGTTTAGGGTTTAGGGTGCCTTTTCAGTCAAGTTCCTCAGT